GTGGGGGTGAAGCACGCCGCTGTGTTCCGTACCCACTAAACGACCCCTCCAGGCCACACCCCGTGCAAGTGTGGCCCATCGGACGCTCTATCCTCCCGTCGGACGTCCCTAAGGCACTCTTCGAACGGCAGTCCCCGACCCCGGCCCCGGTTTAGCCGGCGCCCCTCAGGCCCCCCCACTTAAAGGGAGGGTCCCCCCATCCCCCGGGACCGATCTGCCGAAGCCATCATTGTACCCGGAGTCAAGGGCGTAGGAGGAGAGCCTAGGCCCAGCTTGTTACGCCTCTATTTGGTATTTTAATTTATTCCATGGAATTAATGAAATGCTCAGCGTTTCCAGATAATAAGATAACCAACTGATATGTTTCTTGTCTCTAAGAATGTATAGCTTCAAACGTAAATTGAAATGAGAAATGATATTATATCTTGAGTGAGGCAGGCCGCGCATTTATCCGGCCCTGCCTTTTGGGAGTTGGACCGAGGACAACCATTCGGCACGACGTGAGAGGAAAGAAGGGTGGGGAAATCCCGATGATTTTGCTAGATTACGCTACTGCCGCTACCGGCTACTTCACTTTGAGGTCACTAGATTCGGAAGGGCGGGGAAGGGGGGGCAGGGAGCCCAGCCCGGCAATAATCTGAGACAGCACCCTTCATCTTTTAGCATTAACTAGCAGTTCAATTTTTAAAATTACAGAATAATTATTTTCTCAAGGCATAGGTTTGAACTTCTGTGTTCTTACAGAGAAAACCGAAATCACTGCGTTACAGAAGAAATATGTGGCATTCAATTTTTCTTTGTCTCTTTCCAATGAACATATTTGTTTGCGAGTCCTAAAACTCTGCGTAACCAGGATTGCCAGAGAATTAAGAAACTGAATGTACCTGATTTCCCTGGTACATTTTGGTAAAATTCCCTGACAGTTGAAGATCTGCCAGATGGTTAGGAAAACATAATTTCAAAATTGTTTTCAGGCAAAAATTTGTTGTTCAAAACGATCGACCCCCTTAAGAGAGCAAATAATCCTTAACACTTTTACCATTTTCCCTGACATTTCCAGGTTTTCTCTGACTTTTTAAACTTCCCTGTCCAGTATTTTCTGACTGAGGCAACCCTGAAGACATGTGAAATTCTGTCCTTGGGATGGCCTTTAACAGCTTCTGATGTGGAAGGTAGCAAGGTATTTGAACATGAGGACCTTAATACTAATATTACTTCAGCCTTTCTGGTCATTCCAAGTACACATGGTGAGGTGGTATTTCCATGGATCGTTATAATATCATGATATGAGTCACTTAGTCTAGAAAACAGGCTGCCTGGTGAGTTTATAAAATCACAATTCCACTTTCACCTGCGACCACTTTGTAGACTTTTTTTTGATGTTTCATTTATCAACAGTGAAACAAGGGATCCTGAAACTTGAAATTATGTGTGGAAATTCTTCATAACCTAAAATATATTCACGAACCGTTCATGGTGGTTAAAGCGTTTAGCACTGTACTAAATATAAATAAAACGTCAATACAAATTAGACAGCATGAAATGAGTTGAGATGATTCCAGTTAAATTCATCCAATTCACAGTTCTTCAACTTAAGTCATCTCTTCGACAGTGATGTCCTAAAGTTTCATATCAGAATTGGTCTACCTTAAAGAGCGACGCCATAAACGACCGTTTTTTCGCACAATTTGGGCCAGCGGGGATTTTTCTGAAACCGGGCCCAAATGATACCTTATGATACCCTAAAACTCTGGTAAAAATTTTAGCTTGAGTATACGCACAGTTTTTGAGAAATGAGGGGGCAAAGTTGCCAAATCGCCATCAATCTGGACAGCATTTCTACAGCAAAAAGACGGGAAAAATGGACGAAAAAGTTACACCTTTGATGGGTTTCGGCTGTAAATGTTCTCATTGGGCCCCCAAACATTTAACTGTGTTCAGTTTCAAAAATTTTGGTCGCACAGTGGTCCAAAATGGGGAGAAATCGTCGACAAATCAGGATTCTTTGTCAAATTTTTAGAAGTGGAAGTAAAATTGTCGGTCTGCTGCAGTTTTCATGGCTAACAATGTTCTTATTGGTCATCAATGCATGTAATTGAGTTCAGCTTCACAAATTTACATCACACAGTGGTCAAAAATGGGGGAATTAGTGGACAAATTATGATCCTCTGTCAAACTTTTTATAAATGAAGTGAAACTGTTGGTCCCTAGTAGACTTTAGATCCTGGAAAAATTTTTTAAATTATTTTTTTGACTATTTAAATCTTTTTTAAATTTGTCTCTCCATTTTTCCTTCTTTCTTTTAAATTTCTGAAAGTGTGCATATTTTATTGAGATAATGCTACCAAGTCTATTCTATAACAACGTTCTATAAACAAAACGGTCTGACACGTAGTAAGAATTAAAAACATGAATTTTTCCGGGATCTAAAGTCTACTGGGGACCAACAGTTTCACTTCATTTATAAAAAGTTTGACAGAGGATCATAATTTGTCCACTAATTCCCCCATTTTTGACCACTGTGCGATGTAAATTTGTGAAACTGAACAAAATTACATGCATAGATGACCAATAAGAACATTTTTAGCCATGAAAACTGCAGCAGACCGACAATTTTACTTCCACTTCTAAAAATTTGACAAAGAATCCTGATTTGTCGACGATTTCTCCCCATTTTGGACCACTGTGCGACCAAAATTTTTGAAACTGAACACAGTTAAATGCTTGGGGGCCCAATGAGAACATTTACAGCCGAAACCCATCAAAGGTGTAACTTTTCCGTCCATTTTTCCCGTCTTTTTGCTGTAGAAATGCTGTCCAGAATGATGGCGATTAGGCAACTTTGCCCCCTCATTTCTCAAAAACCGTGCGTATACTCAAGCCAAAATTTTTACCAGAGTTTTAGGGTATCATAAGGTATCGTTTGGGCCCGGTTTCAGAAAAATCCCCGCTGACCCAAATTGTGCCATTCTTGGCGTCTCTTTTTTGTCAAAATTAATCTAGCCTTATAAGCTTTTGTCCAGCGTGCATTGCTTCCTTGGGATTTTCTAGCCTTTGCATGGTTCATTTTAAGGCTCAGTCTAGACTTGAGCATTGGATCTGTGCAACAGGCTGGCTCATTCAATTACTGACACTAGCTTTCATGGGTTCATCTTAATTTAAAGTCCATGGTAGAAAATCTGAAGTCAAGTTTTCAAAGTTGCTAAATTTTGCTGACTAAGGGGCGGCCACATTTGAAGACAATTAGTGGCTAATTTCCTCTGCTCATGCTGTCAAAATTTTGTTACAAGTAAATTGCTGCTCAGTATCTATCAATTTAAACTGGCATCCTTTCATCACACAGTGAATGCATTTCTTTGACAGATTTTCCTTATAAACCAGTTTTGGGTTCCTGCTTGTAATTCTTCAGAAAAAAAAAAAAAAAAAAAAAAAAAAAAAAAATCTTCTAAATCCTTGATTAGAAATTTAGAGAAAAAGTTAATTAGTTGAATTGGCAAAGTTATTCAACAGAAAATGAGCCACAAAAATAAATATACAAATAATTATTTCTGTGAATTATCACCACAAATAACATGCCTGAGATCTTTGTCAAATTTCACCTCTTAACATACAAACATACATATTTATGAGAAACAAATCTATCTTCAATGGGTTGCATATGTAGGTAGATCTCCTTCTTATGCATGCATCAGAATCCTCCGTCGCTGAAAGATAGATCTCACAATCAGTCGAATTCAGGGGCAACTTAGAAACTCACGCAAAAAGACTTAATGGAAAAATACTGAGTGCTACACTTTTGAAAATGATTTCCACTTCCTGTTAAAAGGACTATGAGAAAATTTGACAAAGAAAAAGCTTATAAGGATTAGAATGGTACATAATCAGAAATATAGGTTCGATCTTTGCAGATAAAGAGGAAACCTGCAACAATTATCTATTACGCATCTCACATTAACGCATTATCGCAATTATCTGTTGTTAACACATAGTGGAATAGAAACCTGCTTTAGAAACTAAGAAAATGAATAAAAGGATACAATGAGACAATTGAAAAACAAGAGCAGCATGAATTTGATAAGAAATGGAGGGTAAATGACAAATATTATTAATCATTGAGTAGGAGATTAATAATAATCATTACTAGACAGAACTTAATTATTGTTACAGAGATAAAAGTAAAATGTTTAGAGCGTCAGTGCTGAGAAGATAATTAGAGTCCTATCTACATCCTAGTATATCAAAAGGGTCTCCACAGGTCAGGGTTAGTTCACCTCCACTCAGATTTTTATTCAGGATATTCCACTTGAAAACGACCAGATCCAAAACCTAATCCCCTCGGATTTGGCTTGAATTAGGCATGCAGGATCTTTTCATCATTACGAGAGACTTGTTCTGAAGGGTTTGCCTTACAACACTCCGTTTACTAGATATCAACTTGCCACGATAGGATGAATGGAGAATTTGCACATGGCAGGAATAGTGATACTTTAACTGTTAAGTTATTCTGTATGGAATTTTTGCGAAAAACCTATGATTGCTTCAAAAAAGTCCATCAATGCCTCCCGAGTTTAAAGAAAGTTTTCAGGCCTCTGATTGGCTGGTGATGTTAACTGGCGCCTATCCGAAATCCAATTGGGAATTGGGTAATCAGCATTGTGATTGCTCGCAAATGGTGATTGGGCGACGGTTTTATGAATTTTTTTTGTATTTAAAAGAGCTTGTGTGACACAGAGGATAATTTCACACATTTCAAACCTCGCGGACAAGATTTTGGTCAATTCATCTTCTGCGAGTTTCAAATGAGAGAGGCTTTGGGTCAAACCCTCACCCCCAGTTCAACTCACAGGTATGGTCTTTCTCCAAATGGTTTCTCCCAGGCCTCAAAACTGAGGCTTCTCACTAAAAGAGGAAAGTATTTGGCCTGACCCTACCCTCTGCCCTCTTCTCCTTTAGAACCATTGTAATGTTCTTACACTAAATCAAGAGTATCATTCACTTACAAAGATAAGCTTCTTCCTGCTCCTTGGTCAAGTTGGTGGGAAGTACTGTGGGAAGGCCTGGAATGAAAATCTTATCTGTTTCTTCTTTACCCCATCTTGATTTTCTCTTTTTACGCCTTTCTTCCCTCTCACGATCTTCTGTGAAAAAGAGAAAAACTAGGGGTGTAAAAGGACATCTTACTACAAAATTGCACTCATCGACGAGTAAAGTTCGTGGGTGAATAGTTATTGATTTATTTTTCTCCTATATGAAATGACAGAGTTCTGCCAGAGTGTGAAAGTTGATAGTAAAAGTTTAAGTGACCTGTCAATATTATTACGATCTATTACAAATCAAATGTTTATCTGAAACACAGTTTTTTTTACTTAGTTCAGTTTTTATTGCAATATGTTATAATACAAGATACTATATAAGAAGGTAAAGAATGAAGAATATACAAAGGTTACATTCTGCAACATGCGATTTTAAATCAACTGAGTGCGCTAGCTCCCCTAGACTAGGGGGTGCGCTAGGCCGGAAGTGCCTGATGGCATAAGATCGGCTGAATTTAGAGGTCTCCTAAGGGCTGATAACACTAATCTCTTAGTCTCTAATACCTCTTTGACAAATTTCTTCATTCTACACCAATGTCCAAGACTTTTCGTAACAGTCTAGAATCTGGGTCTAGATCTGTCCATGGTAAATATTTTTGAAAATTGATGTATTTAATCAGAGGGTAGTGCCTAATCTATCCTTATGATTTGGGAGGACATAACATTTCAGAGACTCCTCTCATAGCAGATTAAAAAGATGAGATACAGTACTACAGGGATTGTGTACATACCATACCACCTCAGAGGCACAAGTTGGAACAAAAATCTCAACAAATGCATAAATTTTGACCAAATCGAGGGGTTCGGCCTAATTACAAGCTTAAATATTTTCCCTCAATTAGTGATAATCATGGCCACTAAAAACCAAAAGCTGCAAATTTTCCTTCTTTGAATGTAGAGGAACCACCTGTTTTACATCCACTCTTGAGGAAATTAATTTCGTAAGGATACAAAGACACAGCTTTTCCCTTCTAAAATTTTAAAAGTCGAAAGTCAATGTTTTTTAACTCGCCCTGGGCTTCCCCTCCTCTTTTCCAGGATTTATATGTTAAGAAAATTTGCCATTTTCAAGGTAAACAAATACATTTGACCGTATTTCAAAATTTGTAACCGTATCTAACAAATTCAAGGGCGCTCCTTTTTTTTATATCACCCTACTAATTGCCTTCTCGCATAGTCTTTGCAGTATACCAAAAACAAAACTTCAAGACATTATTTCTAAGACACCTTTTCCAGCTAAGGGTCATTTATCCAGCAATAATCCAGCATCAATTGTTTTTGTTGCTTTTAGAAAATATGCTGAAAAGCCCTAAATAGGACTCCTAACAAGAGCAGGTGTACAAAAAACGACTCACCTTCAGCAGATCTTTTATTGGACTCTGAATTTGAAATGGTGTTTGAATTCAGACTCAAATTTGTATTCGATAGATAGCTTGGATTAAGAAGTGATGTGTAATTGCCATAATTGCTATACATATCACTTAAATCGTTTGCCATTGTCAGACCATCCGTGCACAGTACTAGAAATAAGAACATAAAAAATGCAATTTATTAGATGATTTAAGGTACGGCATAAAACTATTTTCATTTAGAAGAGGAAAAAGAAAGCGTCTTAAGAGAAGTCAATCAATTGGAATACGTCAGAATAGTGAACACTACATGATGTCCGTGGAAAGGATGGACAACAACAGGATGCCGAAGGTAGTTCTAAAGGTGAAATTGTAGTCAAAAAGTCGAATTTTGTAACATTTTTTGTTTATATTTTTTTCTTGTTCTACGTATCTTCCTGAATATTTTGGTAAATAATAGTATGGGGTTTGTAGGAAAATTAATGAACATATCAGCATTTATATGTGGAAAAGCAGGAATCCAAAAATTTCGATTATAAACGATCATATATATAGCTTATATAACTTATATATATATATATA